TATACCTACAAAAGCAAGCTACCTTACGTATACTCTACAGCGCCCTCCTTTCACCCAAGGAGGGTCGCGTCCGTTTACGGCTTAAAGATCTCTCGCAAGATCATTAAGCCGATCCCAAAAGGTGATGTTTAGTGTGTAAAAGCCTCCAGGTAACCGCGCAGCCGGCTGCGTGGTATGCTATGAGCATTCCCCACCTCCCTCCCCCGCTACCGAAGTGGGAGACGCCTTTATTTGCTTCGGGCGCAAAAAAAAAGTATACTCTAAGGAGAGCTCTATGTGCAGTGGACTTACGATATTATGTAACGATAATGGTATAAGAACTTAGTATGAATACGTGTTATATGTTATAAGTACTAATATTCGGTTCATATGTAAATAGACTAGTTAAGTACAGATATACTAAAATTCACGTTCACCGAGAATCAATGTCGGCGCAGTGTGTAGCAGAATTTTAAACATTTCATTAATTAGTTCTACTTGTTTATGTACAAAAATAATATTTGTTTTATTCGTATTTTATGCGTTGCCATACCGTTCATCATATTGCAGAAAAATTTTGTCAATTTGTTGCTTGAACTTCTGCGAAGGCATAGTTGTACCCGGTAGGTGGCGCTGTTGTAGGAAGCCGGGACAGATCGCTCGTTCCTAATAAAGAACTTGTAAAGTGTCATTCCTTATGGGTTGTTAAAAAACATTTAAAGGTTTAATTGTTATTTTATTTCAAAATGTTAGGCGAGCAATTTCCCCTTCTTTTAAAAAACTGAAGTGAAATACGAGTTTACAGTCCGACCTGGTAGGTGGCCACTGCAGTCTATGTACACCTACAGCCAACTTTCAAACAAAGAAGGCTAGATAGAAGGCTAAGTAGAAGGCTAGATAGATAGAAGACTGCATAGTCATCTCTGAGGACTAACATTGAATACTTCACGACCAGTAAGTATACAGTCTCTTTATAATTCAGACTGCCTGACTACCTCGTTGGTCTAGTGGTTGTAGTAGTGCGACTGCTGATCATGAGGTCCTGGTTTCTCAAATCTCGGGTCATGTCAAAAAATTAATTATTGAGTTTTTCCGTCAAGAAATTCTCAGTAGTTGCCCGGAGTCAGTAAGTTGGCGGTGTCTCACCCCCGTGCTTCGAAAAGCACGTAAAGCGTGCTTGCGCATACACCTGGGCACTATAATCCTGTCCTGCGCCGATGGCTAGTCTCCGTTCAGGTAGGCCGCCGTGGCCGAAATTCAGTCTGGAGGACATTACTTCAGACTAAAACAGCAGTGCGGCACTGCTATTAAGCGACAGTAATAGGTAAAGGCCGATAGCACCTACCAAAACCATTTTTTATTAATTAAATTTAAATTAAAAATTACACTCAAAGTTGAGGCGTTTTACATACATTAACTGCACAATGTCAAGTGCTCGAACAATTAGTAGTGTCCGTACAAAACTCGTTTCGTATGTGATCCGAACCAGTGGTTTCCGTAGCTCTGAGTCAAATACATAGATAGCTACTGCGCTACCGAGCCGTCATTTGGGAAAGAAACGAAAAATGATACATTTATTGGCTGCTATCATATGACACAGGTAGTTAGACAGGTTAACGGGATCATCTTTATTATGTTCTTTTTCTTCATCATCATCATCATCTTTTTCTTCCTCATAAGCTCGTAAAATTATTTTTTATTTAACAAAGTAATTACTATTGAGATATTTTTTTAGTCTTACTACTGGTTAAGTAGAAACCTCAATTCAATTTCTGGACAATTTCAATTTTCTGGGCTTTACCGAAGTCGCATCTTACGACACTAGCTTACTGCATGAAATGAAGTATTTGATTTCTTTACGATCAAGCGATTGGTTAAGCGGAGCTTTTCGAAAAATGAAGCCTACGTTGAAAATGAAAAGCACTATTGGTTGAGTGTCTTTATGGTACGTGAGGGTATTACGGTCACTTTATAAAACAAAAGCTAGAAGTAGGACAGAGACAAAAACCCAAAGTCTTATACTATAACTAATATAGTAAAAATAATTGGTTGATCCTGTATGCCATCCCTGGAACTTCCCGATAATTTCAAATGCAAAGCGCTCCAAATTTCACCAAATTATGACGTTGAATATGAAATATCGGGGAAGTCTGCAGTCTGTGAACATGTTCAAGATCGTCCCCACCATTACATTAGATTTGATAAACCACAAATTCTCGCAAAAGAACACCGATTCCTACCAAGGATGATACGTATTTTTGGGGTGGTTGGCTTTGTTTTACTTTTTTTGAAAAAAAAATAAAGGGCGGACTAGTTTTATACTTTTTTTTTTTTATATAATAACCAAATTTAAAGGGCAGAGTTACAACGTGCTCGGAAAGAAAATATCGTGAAGAAACCTGCATGTTTGAGAAATAAGAAAAAATATTTTGAAGTACATGTGCAGTTCGCCAACGCGCTTTGATCAGAGAACATTTCTTTGCCCTAAAACCTTAGACCATTCAAACCAATAAAACGCTCTCAGAAATGAGAGGAGGCCTGTGCCCAGCTGTGAGACGTGTAGGCTGTAACTTTATTTTTAACTTTAATGTGAATTTCGCTATCTATTAGTTCGCTAATTTAACGTATATCATTTTTACCAAAGTATCGTAAAATAAGTATCGTACCAAGGTATCATAACTCAAAGGCACACGTTATTTTCATCTCTCTGCGTCGTAAACGCGTATATTTAAACAGTCTTCAACGTTTAACATCCAAAACAAAAGCATTTTAAGTAAAAGGCTCTTTATGAAATGTAAGGAAACCGCGTAAAAGATGTGATAACTGATAAAAACATTTTGCGCGGAATCCTAATTTTTTTCTAAAATAAAAGAAGCCTTCGTTACTCCTTATAACATCAGCTATCTGCCAGTAAAAGTCCCATCAAAGTCGGTCCAGCCGTTTCCGAGATTAGCTGAAACAAACATACAGACAGACAAAAATTTTAAAAACTTTTTTTTCAAAGTTATTATTACCGTAGTTTACTTTCACATGCATTAAGTAAAAATATGTTATTTTGACATTACAAACAGACACTTCTATTTTATTTATTTGTATTGATAAACATTTACATTGTACACACAATCAATTGTTGATTGTTTGGTACCAAGTTCGGCTTTTTAGTCCCTTGCCTCGGAAAGCATGTAAATTCGATGGTCCTGCGTCTGATCTCTTTCCGGTCATGTCGGATTGTCGACCCATCTGATTATGAGAGTAAGGGTACATTCGGCGTATATTATATTTATATTGAAGACTATTAAAAAGTATATTAAACAAGTAACAACACGGAAAAAATAATGGGATAAATGGAAGTCAATTTAGTGATGAAGATTAAAACTTAGATTACCGATTTTATTAGTATTTAGTAAGCATTCATCGTAAATGACATAATGATTGCCAAATATTAAAACTGTATTAAAATTTACGTACCAATTATAATCATAGATAATATTGTAATTTATCTATTTCATATGTAGTAGAAAGAGTAGAGTCACGCTGCTATATTACGGTTGGTTTTCTTGACCGGGAAGGGCTCACGCTCTTACATAATACACCGTAGCTGGGTTCAGAATCGGATAATTATTTACTAATAAAATTGCATTCTACGAGTATATTCGCCCTCAGGGAAAATAACGCATCTACATTTAGATTCTTAATCGGTGATAGGTGGGTGTCTACGGGCAGCATACACTTTTATTCTATAAAAAATTATGTTCGAGTAATTTGGTTTGGTATAACTTGAAATAGTAACTGTACAATAAAATGTGAATGTTGAAGGTTAAATAAAATATACTTTTTCGGTAGTGATATAAAAATGTTTTAACTTCGAATTCCCAAACGTTGCAATCTCAGATACTAAAGTATTTATTATTCAAGAGTATTCTGTTCGTCGATCTAGTGATGTACATTCATTTTGTTCAATCATAACAGGGTCTCAAATGTTTATTTCTGAAAAACATAGGTCTCCAACGTAAATTGCCTCATATGCCTCATATGGGGGATATTTTCCATAGTTATTCATATAGCCGGCTTGAAAGGCGGGTTGAAAATCGCGCTATTTATTATTTTGAGCTATTAGAAAGGTGCTGCTACTTATCTTTTTGGGATATTGGGTAGTGAATTTTCATAAATGTACACATTAATGAAATTTGGGTTGTTTAAATAAAAACCCATGAAATCAATATTTAGAACAGTAGACATTTAAAAAAAGAGTCAATTCAGTACGATAGTATCTTATAATATTATTTAATTTTAGTGTAGATAAAAGGTTAAACAAAAAAATTCTACACCCTTTCCACAATTACGACGAATTATGTGTTCTTGGATAATTTAAAATCTAAATTGAAATACTTGCGAGATTCTCGTAATTGTTGTCGTCCTTCATAGGTAATCTCAAGTCACTCTTGCCTTTATATCGTGCTGACTACATATCTCAATAGTTACATGCTGGAGGTGGGACTCTCTTTCTGCCTAGGACTCTGTCTGGGTAGACCACCGTCACAGAAGTACATACATTTCTGCCACAAAATAGCAGTGCCTATGGCAGTGCTTGCTTTGACGGTATTTCAGACCATACACACGACAGAAGTGAAACCTTCAAATGAAATGAATAACTTTACGGCAAATTATTTATTTAATATGGTCGAAGAATATTTAATTATAATATTAAATGAAGGTAACAATCCTTTTAATATATATATATATATATATATACTACAACAACAACAACACTTTTGTCAATCTCAATTTTATTTACTTTACCTACTTTGTCATTTTGCCCGAAGTAACTACTTTCTTTTTGTATGATAAAATCAAAAATATCGGTCATAATTCTATTTAAGCAAAATGAATTGCTTCGAGAACGTTACTTTACCTGGTTGTGTGTGGTTTGATGGCGGGGATAAACGGAACACCTTGGCTTCAATGTTTGCTGGTATTTTGTTCTTTGCTGGATGGTGGTTCATCATAGATGCAGCTTCAGTCTACCCAGGAGACCTTCCTAAAGCAGCACATGTGTGTGGTGTTATGGCCACTTTATCACTAGTGATGGTCAATTCTGTCTCCAATTCACAGGTGCATGGTGAAACATACACAGGAGGCTGCATGGGCCCACGGGGAGCTCGAGTGTGGCTTTTCCTTGGGTTTGTGGTGGGCTTTGCTTCACTTATTGCTGCCTGTGGGATATTGTTTGTTAATTATGTAAATGCTGGTAGTAGTAAACACACCTGGCCAGGAATGAGTTTGTTTATGCAGAACGCGTTTATATTCGCCGGATCGCTGGTGATCAGATTTGGTCGCACGGAAGATGTGTGGGGATAAAATGTCGCTTTACACGGTATAAGTTATTGATAATCTGTGGTCAAATTGCTAAAGACTGTAAAACATTGGTCATGGAGCAAATTTTTTTTACAATTATTTTAAATTATATTGATACATGTTGGGTTATTTTACTGCAAAAAAATATTTAGACATTTTATTAAATTATTATTTTAGAAATTATTACAGAAAAAATATAGTATTACTAATTTGTGACTAGTTTTTTTACAATGGTTTAGGCTTAAAACAAGATTGTTACTGACATTTTAATCCTTTTAGACATGAAAATGATTTACTTTAATGACCCACTCGATTATGAGATTAGTTCACAAAGATATGCAATTATAACAGGAAACAAAAGTGCAAACTAATAATATTCGCACTCTGTAATAAAAGAATCTCCGGGAGGAAAACCGGCGACGAGGTTCGCCACCCGTCACGTTCTGTCTCCCGGAGAGGCGAAAAGTGGATTGCAGAGGCCCGTCTGGCTACGTTGAATGTATGTGGGGCAATGAATGATAAAATGGATGAAGTATGCGATATGATGTATGATAGAGGAATAGATGTGTTATGCGTAAATGAGACGAAAAGAAAGGGGAAGGATGTCACTACACATGCCATGTATACCGCATACTGGTCTGGTGTAGACGAGATCGAGCGGGCATGCCAGGGAGTAGGTATCATCCTTTAAGAAAGAATGGGCCAATGTGTGAAAGAGTATGAATGTGTAAGCCCAAGACTGCTATGGATACGAATGAAAGTGGGCTTAAAGAAGTTGTTTGTGTTAGGGGTCTACGCCCCAGACATGTCTAAGCCCACTTATATCCGAGAGCAGTTTTGGGAAATGGTAAGGATGGTGTTAATGAAGTGTAAGGGAAATGAAAATATTATTATGCTAGGAGATTTGAGCCGTGGTAGCTCAGTGAGCGTGGTAGGGTAGAAATCGGAGAATTATGGGTGTTTTTTTCGGATTTAATGGAAGGGTTGGGGTCAGGAGGCTTGGTTATGAAAGGATATTGGGAACGTTTGGTGATGAAAGTATAAATGAGAATGGCGAAAGTCTCCTCACCGTATGTATGGAAAAGAATCTTTTTGAGACGAACACTTGCTTTCGCCACAAGAGGATTTACATGTATACTTGGGAAAGAGGTGACGATAGAAGCATGATAGATTTCATAATTGTGGATGAAAGATTGAGGGGCGCAGTGGTAGATACGAGAGTTTACCGGGGTTCTAACGTAGGAACGGATCATTATTTAGTTTTATGCCGAATTAATGGTCTATTTAGGCGTTGGCGCCATCGATCGTCTGTGTCTACCACTGCGTTACAACGTATTAGAACAGAAAGGATGAGTGACAAAAACAAGTTCAAATGTAGATAAAAGAAAATATAAGTGGTTTGGATGAATTATGTATGAAGGAGTTAGACTTGGAGAATATATGGCAAAATGTAAAGAAAGGTTTAGTGGATGCAGCTACCGAAGTATGTGGTGTTAGTAAGAGAAAGAATGAAAGGAAAAATAATACGTTATGGTGGGATGATGAGATACGTATGGAAGTTGAAGCAAAGAAGAGAGCATGGCTAGATTTACTAGCAACAAAGGCTGCTAATTCTAGTGGTACGAATGGTGATTGTGTGACGTGATGGTGACAAGAAAAAGGCAGTCTTTAGACATCTTAATAAGAGAGTAAAAGAAGTAGTTGAAAGAAAAAAGCAAGAAAGAACGGATAAGAATAATAGAAGAATATCGGATAACTTCCAGGCAAATATTAAAATGTTCTGGAAACTTGTAAGAACTGCAAGGGGACATTTAAAACAGCCTATGATGAATGCTATAAGAGACGAGAATGGCTTTATTCTGAATGATGAAGTTTTGAGTTTAAAGAGATGGAAGGAATATTTTGAAAGCGTGTTTATGAGTGAGGAGACAACGTGTGTACTAAGTGAAGTAGAAACACCGAAAGAAGAGGAAAGAGGTAGCGAGATAAGTATAGATGAAATAATGAAAGCAATGAAAAGCATGAAAGCAGGTAAGGCTGCCGGATATGATAGAGTTTCACTCGAAATGCTAGGGGCTGGAGAGGAAGTCGTGGCAGGCCTGCTGCACACCTTGTTTAATTTTTGCTGGGAACTGAAGCGGGTACCGGTAGACTGGTGCAAAGCCGTGATAGTCCCAGTATATAAAGGAAGAGGGTCGCAGCAGGACTGTAAAAACTACCGTGGCATCAGCCTTCTTAGCATTGTGGGAAAACTGTATGCTAAGGTACTGATTGAAAGGGTCATAAAAGAAACTGATGGAAAAATTTGGGATGTGCAAGCGGGATTTAGAAAGGAAATGCGATGTACAGATCAAGTATTTTCCATGCGCATGATCGCGGAGAAGTTTCTGGCCAAAAACCAAAAGGTTTTTTGTGCGTTCATGGACTTGGAAAAGGCCTATGACAGAGTGGATAGGGATTTGCTATGGCAAACACTGAACTCATTTGGGTTGAGCGCTGGCTTGATACAGGCATTGGAGTCTCTTTATAGGGACTCTAGTGCTTGTGTTAGGATCAACGGGGTCTACTCGGACTGGTTTGACATCCATAAAGGTGTCAGACGGGGTTGTGTGGCTTCCCCGTGGCTGTTCAACCTATTTATGGACAGTTGTTTGCAAAATTTGAAAGTTGAAGAATGCGGATTAAGAATGGGTGAGTTAACCGTCAAATACCTTTTGTACGCCGATGATCAAGTTATTCTTGCGTCGTCGGCGGCCGAGTTGCAAATGATGGTTACATTAATGAACGGATCATTAAAAGAAAGGGGTATGAAAGTGAACGCAAGTAAGACGAAGGTTATGGTTTTTGAAAGAGAAGAAAGTAAAACGATTTGTGAAATAAGAATAGAAGGGGAGTTGATCGAGTAAGTAGATGAGTTTGTATATTTGGGCTGCGTATTTAGCAGGGATGGGAGGATATGATAAGGATATAGAACGACGAGTGAATGCGGGAAATAGAGTAAATGGAGCCTTGCACTCTATTGTGAAGAGTCAAAATGTGTCGAAAAAGGCACGTATGGCAATTCACAATGCTGTGTTGGTCCCTACTTTAACGTATGGTAGTGAAAGTTGGGTGTGGCAGAAGAAGCACGAGAGTAGAATAAACGCAGTAGAAATGCGGTCGTTAAGGAGTTATTATTATGTTAGGGCTGAATCTGAATGACAGGGTAAGAAATTGTGTAATAAGAGAAGAGTGTTGTTTGCAAGATGATGTTGTGACCAGGATTAAGAAAGGAATGCTTCGGTGGTTTGGTCATGTGGAAAGAATGAATGAGGGAAGAGTGACAAAGAAAATGTATGGTGCAGAAGGGAATAGCAGAGTCGGAAAGGGACGTCCTAGGCGAAAATTTATCGACCAAATTGGCGATTTATTGAAAACGGGCCAAATTAGGAGTACCCTTAACCGACGAGCATGTATGCGTAGGTGTATGGATGTGAAAGAGGCAAGAGAGGTGTATCAGGATCGTGCCAAATGGATGTCTGTAGTCTCTGCCTACTCCTCTGGGTGACAGGCGTGAGTGTTTATGTATGTTATGTATGTATATATATATATATTTTTTTTTTTATATATATATGACTGCCTCGTTAGTCTAGTGGTTATAGTAGTACAACTGCTGACCATGAGGTACTGCGGTACAAACACAAAAAGTAGTAATAGTGTGACTGCCGATCATGAGGTCCTGGGTTCGAATCCCGGGTCGGGCCAAAATTATGAGTTTCGTCAAGAAATTTCAGTTGCCCGGAGTCAGGAAGTTGGCGGTGTCTGACCCCCGTGCCTCGGAAAGCACGTAAAGCCGTTGGTCCTGCGCCTGATCTCTCTCCGGTCGTGTCGGTTACCGTCCCATCGGATTACGAGAGTGAGGGAATGGAGAGTGCACCTATGCTTGCGCATACACTTGGGCACTATAATCCTGTCCTGCGCCGCTGGCTAGCCTCCGTTGAGGCAGGCCACCGTGGCCGAAATTCGGTATGGAGGACATTATATTAGACACATAGATATTACATTTTCTTTCGAGTAAAATTATAATAGCGCCACCTACTTCATTCTATATGTAATTATTTTATCATGCAACTGATTGACACCCAAGACGGTATGTAAAATAGAAGCTAGATGGCCTGAATGTATGAAATCATGAATTTTAATGAATATTTTTTTTTCAATATGGTTTACTGTATTTGTTAATTTTTGCCACCGCTACCACGTGGCTATCATTTCTATATGAAAATCATAGATTATGAAAAGAATGAGATTATGAAAAGTGAACCACGCAGATGGGAAGCGCACGAAACTATCTACTACCGGTTTTGATGGTTCTTTTTTTATTCAAATTGGTATTACTTGGACACATTTATTTTAGTACTTATTTTATTTAAACGATATATTTTAATCCGACCATGTTTAAAATATCTAACGAAGTCTTCGACATCGTTAATGTACTTTTAAGTGTACGGAACAGCCACAATTTTTTACGACGAGTGGAATAATTTCCCTTCGAATGTTGATACTCTTTTCGATATACCTTATACAGTACTCACTAATAACAAAACGATTTATATCGATTTTACCTATTACGAAGTTGAGGTTTGGCCGTGCTTTACTGCTTGTTTATTCCATAGGCAAACGTCACCTTCGTTCCTTTTTTCTCGACTTTTATTTCGCGAGCATTGAGCTATAATGCTTCCTATCTCATTTTCTCCCACGTTAAATCTTATGAATTTATGTGTCTGTCTCATTTTACTGTCGCTTTTTCATTTTATAGACTTTCAAATCACAGCGATGTTAAAGAAGTTTTCACTTCAAAGCTTAGTGAAAACGAAGA